GTTATCTCATCCTCTTGGCAGTTTTCCCCTGACCAGTATGTAGTGACCTTCTTTATCTCTTTTGATTGTTGTTGGTTTGAAGTTTACATTGTCTGCAAACAGAATAGCTACACTTGCTTTTTTCTGGGTTCCTGTTGCATGGAAGATTGTTTCCCATCCTTTGCCTTTCAGTCTATGGGGTTCCTTTGAGTGTAATGTGTTTCCTATATACAGCATCTTGTTGGATTTTGTTTTTTAATCCACTCTGCCAATCTGTTTCTTTTGACTGGTGAATTGAGGCCATTTACATTTATGGTTATAACTGATATGTGTTGTTTTATCATTGTCATGTTATTTACTTGCGTTGGTGTCGTTCTTTTTCTGCCTGTTTACTTGCTTGCTCTTCTTGATGGTTCCTTTCTACTGTTGTTCTTGAAATTGCGGTCAGATGTTTTCTGTCTCGAATGCCTTTTAGTAGTCTTTGCAATGCTGGTTTGGCACTCATGAAGTTCTTCAATTGTTCTTTGTTGTGGAAATACTTTATTTCTCCATTGAATTTGGGGGATAGTTTGGCGGGGTACACCAGTCTTGGTTGGAAGCTCTTCTGTCTCAAGCTGTTCTCGATTGGATAGTTTGTGTTGAGAAGTCCGCTGTGATTCTGATGGGCTTTCCTTTATAGGTAATCTGTTTCTTTTCTCTAGCAGTTTTTAATATTCTGTTCTTTTGCTGGAGATCTGGGAACTTGACTATTAAATGTCTGGGTATAGTTTTATTTTGGTTGTGGTTGGTTGGAGTTCTGTATGCCTCATTTACCTGTATATTAGGTTCTGTTTCCATGCTTGGGAAATTTTCTGCTATTATTTCTACAGATACTCTTTTATGTCAGTTGTGTTGCCTCCTGCTCTTTCATTGACTCCTATTAGTCTTACATGATTCCTCTTTGCCTCGTCTTGCAGCTTTTGATTTGATTTTTCCTGGATCCTTGTTGATGTTAAGAGATCATTTTTTCCCGGTCGCTAGCTGTCTTCAAAGTCTGAGATTCTATCTTCAGCTTCATTCAAGCAGTTTTAGCAGCTTTCAATGGAAGCTTTGTTTTCCTGGAAGTCTGTCTGAATCTGATTCATGCATTCTAAGTCCTTTCTATATTTTTCATTTAATGTTTCTGTCCATTGCCTGTGTTCTTCTTTTTTCTTATATTTCTTGTTCAGACATTCTGAGCAGTTCTTTCATTATTATTGTCATTTCATTTTTTGCCTGAGAGATTATTTCTGATCTGTTCTCTTCTATGGCCTTGTGGAGTTGTTTCTTTACTTCCATTGCAGTCATTTCAGCAATTTCAGGCATGTGTTTACCAGGTTCTCCTGTGTCGACGTCTCCTGGACTTGTTCTGAGTGGGGTGGAGTTCTGGGATTGTGTTTTAGTCCTTCGTCTTGTCGTGTTTGATACCACATTCAGAAAGCTCAGTTTCCCTCTTCCATGGCTGCACAACAAAGGCCTCTAGTGTCTCTAATTTTCCTGTTGGTCAGGTTTGCCCCTCAGTGTCCTCTGAGATGCACTACTTAGTTTGGAGTTTTCTGGCAGTTGCTGAAGTGTATCTAGTTATCCCAGGTTTCAGACACTGGCATTGGTATCAGCTGATGGCAGACCGTCTGATCCAGCGTCCCCTTGCAGTTCAGGGCACGTGTACGGTTGGGACTCAGGTTCCACTGGTGGGACAATGCCTGTCCAGTGGACCTGTGTCCCCAGGCAGGTCAGGGTACAGGCAAAACCCAGACACAAACTGCAGGGTCAGCAGTTTGTGGACCACCTGATTCTGTGTCTCCAGTCAGTTCAGGGCACGTACAGGAGCCAGACGTGGGCTGCACCAACAGCAATCACAGACTGCCCTGCCTGCAATCCCCAGGGGGTCAGGGCGCAAATAAAGCACAGACTCAAACTGCGGTACCAGCAGCTCTTGGAGCACCCTCTCACTTGGTTCAGGGCATGCGCAGGAAAGGCCCACATGCAAACCCTGGTGAGACCAGTCCCCGGGCCTTCTGACTGAGGAACTCCTGTCTGCCACGGGCGTACAGAGGGCAGACTCAGACTGTAACAGTGGCGGGGTCCTGGGTCGCCTGCTCTGCCCCCAGGAGGTAGATGGGAAATGCCTGGCTCTCTTGGCAGCTTTCAGCTGGGAACCATGGTGACAGCAGGTTCAGCCTGCCTGGTTCTGCTTCTTAGTTCAGAACACGCCCAGGAGCCCTTCATCTATTTTTAAATTAGGTTGTTTTTCATTGTTCAAATGTAGGACTTCTTTATGTATTCTGGGTATTAAATCCTTGTTAGACATAAGATTTACAAATATTTCCTCCTACTCTGGGATTATTTTTTAACTTTTGATAGTGTCATTTGATGCACAAATTTTTATTTTCATGAAGCCTAGTTTATTGGCAAGTGTGATGTCATGAAACCTTGGCTTCGTGTTTTTTCAGGAGTTTCATAGTTGTAATTGGTAATAGGTCTTTGATCCGTTTTGAGTTAATTTTTGTATATGGTATAAGATATTCCAGTCATTTTGCTGTTTTCTTAAAATAGAGAATGAAGCCAGAACTTCTGTACTATAAAAAATAGATTTTCATTTCTTTACCTATTACATTCTTTTGCCTTATTACAGGTAAACACTGAATTTTTAAATTTTTTTACAATATTTTTTGGTTAGCAAGAATTACTACTAATTTAAGAGCTCTGAACTGAACCGCAAGTAAACATTTGTTTTTCTCTGCCTCTTAGAGCCAAGATTCTGGGTCTGATAATCGAATAAACACAGTCAGCCTCAAGGAAGCATTAGAAAGGTTTGATCATAGCCCAACCCCTTCTGCCTCCTCCCGGAGTTCAAGAAAGTCATCTCACACGGCAGTCTCAGACCCTTCCTGTGAGTACGTCAGCTGGAAAGTAGAGTGCTGTTAAACAGAGTACTTCTAAATGGTTGGTGTTAACTCATACCAGAATTTTTGGTAAAATACTTCTTTAAAATTACAAGTAAAATAAATTGTAAAGAAATTACAATTTTTTACAATTTTGAAGTGTATCAAACTCTCCACTGAGTAAGAGGCAGCTTATTTATCTTTAACAAAGAATTGTTATCAGGTGATCTATAAAACATTTAGGTGGCAAAAGCCAGGTGTGGTGGCACACGCCTGTAATCCCAGCACTCAGGAGGCTGAGGCAGGAGGATCATTGGGAGTTGGAGACCAGCCTGGGCTACAAAGTGAGCTCATGCCCAGCCTGAACTGAATAGCGAGACCCTGTCTCAAAAAGACCAAAAAAAAAATGTAGGTGGTAATTTTATTTTTAACCATTCTTCAAAAAGAAAGTGAAATTCTTTTTTACTGTAGAGCCTGCTTTATGAGAGTCTTTTAGGGTCTGATTTTTATGAAGACTTGCATAGTAGTCACAAAGTTACATTTGGCCCTCTGTATATAGGTTCATTTCTGTAGAGTCAACTGACCATAGACAGAAAGTGCGCCAGAAACAGTACAGCTATACTGAACAAGTGCGGGCTGCTGTTCTTGTCGTTGTTCCCATGATCAGTACAGGATAATGTTCATTTACATTGCCTTAGGGGCTATTTAAGAATAGAGATGATTTGAAGGAGGATGCACATAGTTATATGCAAATACTGTGCCGTTTTATATAAAGGACTTGGGCATCTACAGATTTCGGTATTCACAGGGGTCCTAGAACCAATCCACTATATATATATATAACTATAGTTACTATATATTGTCTTTCAAATTTTTCTTTGTTCTTAAAAGATAGAATTAAAATTAATCTTACAATCATGCATTTTACTTTTATTGAATAATTTAGAAAACTAACTCAAAGACCATTATTATTCACTGCAGTAGATCTTTAAAGTGATCTTTGAAAACTGTGCTTACGAGTGTTAATGTTACTCTGCTTTTGTTGGCTGACCTCAGCAACTCCAACAAAGATCCCCACGGACACCAGCACTCCTCCGAGGCAGCACTTGTCAACCCATGAAAAGATGGCGCACAGGAGATCATCATTTAGTAGTCAGGTAAGCAATTTAGTTAATATTCTTTGGGGAAGCACAGATTGATTAAAAGGGAAAATTACCTAAATTTAAGAAATTCATTGATTTACTGTTGCTTTCAGTAAAAATCAAAATAGTTGATATATGACACTTCCTCAAGTATCTCTTACTTGTGAAGTTATTGTCACGCAGTTGAGTCATTTTTACTATTTTTCAGGTAAAATGTTGAAGATTTTCTGCATGAAAAGCTGATAATTGAGAGCTGTTTTATATCTTTAAGTTCAAATACTATCTGTCTTTTGTTAAATCCGGTACCTTTTTTTTAGAGCTCTTGGTCAGTACTCTGACAGATACACTGGAGGATCAAACTTGGATAAGGAACAGATCCTTCCAGTGTCAAGAGGGAGGCATAGCTGCCCTCAGCTAAGGAAAGCGTGAAGCAAATTCTAAGTGTAGTGATAAACATACCGTATTTCTATTTCTGGTGGATGTATGAGAATGAACATCACTTCAGTAATTTTAGTTATGTATTTTTCTTCTAGTCCATAAATTCCCAGTCTGTTGGTCCTTCATTAACACAGCCAGTGATGTCTCAAGCTGCAAGTTTACCAATTCCACAAGGCATGTCTCAGGTATTTTTTGTTTGTTTGTTTTAGTTGAGTATTTACAAATAATAAGTTGCTTTTCAGCTGAAGTGATTATATAGTTACGTACACAATTGTATATATTTTTATATATGTATAATTATAGTATAGTGGATCTTAAGTAGAGACATCCACAGTTCATTTTATTCCTTCTATGGATATTGGAAGAATTAACTTTATTCATTTATTAATTCATATATGAGAAGTGTTGACAGTATTTGCAATATCTATATTAAGAGGCAATGAGGAAACAACAGATGACTATGATACCACACTACGTAGTCTGTGCCCATCATATGGACCTTTAATGCAGCCTGAGAAAGTGAAAGAAAACCTCCCTGGCAAATATTTTGCCTGGCCTGAGTTCCAGAGGAAGCCTAAGTGTAGAAATTAGGAAGACAAAGGTGAATAAATCCAAAAGCAATTCTTTCATCACAACTTCTCAACTTGTGATTTGTAACTCATTCAGTTCCTCAAGTACATTGACAGTACTACTGAGTAGTAATAAATATACCATCATGTAAAATCTTCTGGCTGTTTTCGTTTTTGTTTCTTGTGGTACTCAGGGTCAGATGCAGGGCCTTGCTCATGCAGGAAAAGTGCTCTACCACTGAGCTACGTCCCTCGCTCCTCTCACTGCTTCATTTGGCATTAAATATCTAAACTTTGTAGTCCCGGTTTCTAGTAATAGATTACCATGGAAGGTGTTCATTAAAGCACTCTATCATTAAACATTATATTTAGGTGCAACAGTGTTTAATCAGCATGAGGCATCAAATTCTAATTACTTTGACGTATCAACAGAAATTGTATGTAAATATTTGGACAAACTTTCAATATTATTCTTTAACCTCAGGATACTGATTAAACTTTTCTTAACATTTTATAGGGGATATTTTTATGAAGTAAACATGTACTATGTCAAAAATGTTAATAAGCGTTCAAATCTCACATTTCATTCACAGTAGAACCAAACACTTCGCTTCTTTGTTCTGTGGTTTGGTTTTCTGTTGAGATCTTGTGTTCTGTGTTTATTTCTATTTTCTTATTTCTACTTAACATAAATCCTTGAAATGGTGTCATGTTTACCTACAGGTTCACATAACTATTTAGAAGGCCTGAGAGAAAGTTGAGGCACTAATTTATAATATTTTATCAAACCTGGTAGAATAATATATGATATTGCCTTGTTTCAACTTCAGAACTGAAAGTTGTGTACTTTGAAGGGTACTACTCTGTATCCTTAATACAAACTTTTGAAGAGAATAAAAAAGCATGGGGGGAGGTGGTCTCACTTTTAGGTGTAGTTCAGTGTATATTTAAGATAGATTTTCAATAAAATGAAACTTTTCAGTGTGTCATATACTTAAAATGTATATGTCAGGAAAATTAAAACTTGCATAAGTATTAATACTGAATTTACTGAAACATCTCAAGAGTAATACAAGTTACCTTTGGCCTCTATGATTACAACAGATGCTCACTTCCAGACATTTATAAGAACAGTGAACTATTGAGTATGTATACATTTTTTGGCAGGCTCTGTTTGTATGACAATAATCAAATGAGCCTGTGTAGACTTCAGAATGAATCACCAAATGGGGCTAAATTACACACAATAGAAAATAGAGAAATAACAAAGAAAAGCCTGAGAGTAGAATAACTGTTTTCATTCATTGATTTGTTCATAATTGCTTTAAAAGCTATGTTTCAGACTTTTGAGGACAGTATCAGTTGAAAAAATGAGTGACAATCATAATGGTTATGTGTTAAGTTTTTGTAACTTTGGGTAATTCTGTTTATGTACCCAGAGAAGACGTTTAGGGATGACGGAATCTGATATGAACGAATTCCAGGTTCAGGCTACATTTTCACCTGTTAAAAAGTAGAAATGAAAGTAGGAGGTGAAGTAACTGTTCTAGTGAGTGATGAGCCCCACAGTGTGAGCCCAGGCCTTCCCACTTACGGGTGTAGTCAGCCAGGTCCAGCCAGAAACCATAAGCACACCAGCAGTGTGGGGAGAGAGTATGGAAAGTTACTGAGCAGTGACGAAGGCAGGAAGGAGTCCTGAGAACGTGGGGCGAGGAGTTGTAGAGAGCAGAGCTAACTGTGCGTCCCAAGGACAGCACCTCAGGAAGGGATGGCCTCAGAGAGCCGAGCCTCCGACACTTGTCCCGTGCCTGGCTCATGTTCAGATCTTGCTGGGGCCGGGTAAGATACAGAAGCTCACTGACGTGCCTCAAAGGAGGGCCGCAGAGCAGGAAGCCACCTGCCAGGGACTGGTCAAAATGTGCTGAGAAGCTGCCCACCAGAACGTCCCTGGGACTTGCTAGAAAGCCGCCTGCCTGGGTGCTGATGAGACTCGCAGCGAAGCTGCCCCACGGTGCCCCGGACGCTCCAGTGAAAAGGAAACGAGCTTCCTTGGCAGTGTCCCTCCAGCGCCATCTGCTGTTAACTTGGGGCTGCTGCCGAAGAGAAGTGTTTCTCAGTTCCAGGCCCAGGGTCCTAAAGCAGCTCAAAGGTGGGCCAGTTAGAAGCTGCAAGGCAGCACAACAGCCGCCTGAATTGTCAACCCACAACGCCCCGCTTACTTTCACACTGCATGATACGTGAAATAAGTCACTTTAGATGAGTTACACTTCTCCACGTGTGGTATTTCAGTTTCAGTTTTCAGCTCAGTTAGGAGCCATGCAGCATCTGAAGGACCAGTTGGAGCAACGGACACGGATGATAGAAGCAAATATTCATCGGCAACAAGAAGAACTGAGGAAAATTCAAGAACAGCTGCAGATGGTCCATGGTCAAGGGTTGCAGGTAAGTAACTTTTATATTTGAGCACAAAGTATCCCTTTTGCATTTTGGTTTCCTAGAAAACTGGTTTAAAAATGTGTTTTTATTGTACATATAAATTTTATAAAATATTAGGCTTAAACTTGGTATTTTCATACATATAGCATATTTTGATCTTATCCATCCCCTACTCTCCTCCATTACCTCCACCCCCATCCTGTTCCTTTAGAAACTGACTTTTTTAAAAAATGAAAGTTAGGTGTGTTTCACTAGTTCAGTTCAGTAAACACCCATTGGTTACTTGCACAGATAGTCATTCCTGAGAAGAGTTCACTAGCATCCTATTTTCTTCAAGATGAATCAGGTCGTCATTTTAGTAAGCTCAAATCTGTAATATAAAAATTGCATTTTACAGTAGCTTAGTAGGTATGATTCCTAGTCATCTAGCTCCGTCAGCCACGGGGACCACGCAAGGAGAAGAGCTCCTTCGCCTGCTGTCATGACGGTGGGTGGCGGGTGGTACAGACCTGCCGGTCACAGGCCTCTACGCAGCGCTGAGGTGCGCTTGCTGACAGTTGGGAACACGCTGAGCACGACGGAGCGAACGCGGCGTTTCCTGTCGTGCTCAGTAGTTACTGCTAGTTCTCCACTCAAAGCAAGTTACAGTCCGCTTACTTGCCTTTTACTTCGAACTTCGTTTTGCTTACTTCCTTTTAATGTTATCACTGTTTTTAAACTGCAGAAGTCATTAGGGCTGGAGATGTATCCCAGGGGTAGAGTTCTTGCCTAAGATGTTCTAGGCCGAGTTTAATTCCCAACACTACCAAAAAAATTAAATGTAATCTTTATTTTCAAAGATGTTTTTGCAACAGTCAAACCCTGGATTGAATTTTGGTTCTGTCCAACTTTCTTCTGGAAATTCATCTAATGTCCAGCAGCTCACACCTGTAAATATGCAAGGCCAGGTTGTTCCTGCTAGCCAGATGCAGAGTGGACTGAGTGCCGCTCACATCGGCACAAGCCAGCACCTGATGCAGCAACAGACTTTGCAGAGTGCAACCGCTCAGGTAATGCTGTCAAGGGCAGTGGGCCCTGGAGTAGTGTCCAGGGACTAAAATTTATACTAGTGTCAACTGAAAGTGAGAACACGTAATACTGAACTATTGAGCTGGGCATGGCGGTGCACACCTGTAATCTTAGCTCTTAGGAGGCTGAGACAGGAGGATTGCCATGGGTTTGATGCCTGCCTGCCTGAACTACATAGTGAGTTCAAGGCCAACCTGGACTAGAGAAGAAGACCTTGTCTCAAAAATTTAAAAAAAAAAAAAATCGAAATATTAAAATACTTTTTGAGAAATTAGTTAACGTTAAGTATTTTCAATATTTTGACATTAAAATAATTTTACAATTTAAGGATCTAATCTAGTAGTTATAATGGGACATTGTAATTTATAGACTCGTTCTTTATGTTAAAAAATTACGGTTTACAAATGAAGCGGACCGGGAAATGTCCCTACATGTGCAGAGTACACGGGGGTGGGGGAACAGTGATGGTTTAACACATTCATGGCAGGCCGGAATTCATATGCCTCACTGCCAGGCAGCTTGAGCCACTGGTTGTACATCCACAACTGCCCCATACATGACGGTACCACTTGTACCGCCGGTTCTGCAAGCCACCTGATGGGACAGTCATTGCATGTGCCACCAGTGGGTCAAGCCAGGGGGCTTTAATAAACATTGCAGAAAATTCTGGTAATTACTGTACCTCTGTGACTATAAATGGAAAACATAAAAATACCTAATCATCGGTCACTCACTGTGGACATTTAACAAAAATCCTTTGTTAGAATCACAGCTTCCCATGGAGCAAGGAATTTAAGACTAATTCATTCTCAACTACTACAAATCATTTCTTTGTTTTTGTGTTGTTTGGGTTTTTTTTGTTTTTTTTTTTTTTTTTTTGGTCTTTTTGAGACAGGGTCTTGCTATGCAGTTGAGGCTGGCCTTGAGCTCACTGTGTAGTCCAGGCTGATCTCAAACTCACAAATCAGCCTCCCGAGTGCTGGGATTACAGGGATGCACCGCCACGCCTGGCCTGTGCTGTTTTATTTGTAGAAGAGAGATTTAATTTTGGCTCAAAAGTTGCTCCTTTGGGATTAGAGTTCTCTCAAAGTCATACACCCTGACACGGTTGCATGTTAGGTCAGCAGCTGTGCGAACTGTGGACGGGAGAAGCACGTTTCCCAGGTAACTGTGTCTAGTTAATCTCTCTGTGAAACCTTCTCTTTCCCAGCAGGGCCAACAGAATATACTGAGTGGGCACGGTCCGCAAACGTCTCTTCCCAGTCAGACACAGAGCACTCTCACAGCCCCTCTGTACAACACCATGGTGATTTCTCAGCCTGCAGCCGGGAGCATGGTCCAGATTCCATCCAGTATGTCCCAGAACAGCACCCAGGGTGCTGCAGTAACCACATTCACTCAGGACAGACAGATAAGGTAGTTGTCATACTTCGGTTCGCATTTTCGGAGTTGTAAAGTGATGGGTTAAAAGCGGTAATCTGTGCCTAGGGATACATTCAGTACTGAAGCACTTACCTTGCATGCACAAGGTCCTGAATTCAATTCCCAGCACTGCCCAAAAGAGGGAATAATTTGATTTTTAAATTTCTTACTTAGTATAGCCATTGTCATTTGATTGTCTTTTTCATTTCATTAAATTTGAAATCAGAACACGTCTGTTGTTTAAAGACTTTTAATAACAGAATAGCTATACGTTTTATTTCTTGTCCAGTAGTGAGTTACCAAATGTGATAGAGCCCATATTCTTTAGCACATTGGTATAAAGGGCCTGTGACAGGTGTTGTGGCACTCTGAGACTTTTCAGTACAGATGTTAAAGTTTTTAGGTAGTAACAGCAGTTACTACAGCATACCTTTCTTAAGTGCTCAAAATATTCTGTCCTCTTTTAATTTTAAAGTATCATCTTTCATTTCCCAAGTAGGAAACTGGGTTTTTAATGACTTAGTCAAGGGCCTATCGCTGATTAAGTCAGTGAGGAGGCAGCTCTGGACTCAAACCTGAGTGTCTGACTTCAGAGCTCAGCTGCTTGAACGTGTACTGCACTGCGCTGTGTGCAGTATTCTAGGAGGACAGTCCTCACTGACTTTCATGTGGTGTGATAAAAACTGCACAGTGAATGTAGATGCTGAGTGCATCCGGCAGAGAGGCAGGGCCCTTCAAACCGGAAGCTGTGTGGAACATGAGCAGCGGTGGGTGTGACAAGTTTCAGCTCCTATTCCATTCAGAGCATTTTAACCACAGACTTGAACTCGCGTTGAGTATGCATTTGGATTGCTAGACAAAAATAATAGCATGTGTCGGTTTCATTACATGTTTGGGTTTGTACCACTTCCGAGTCCAGGTTTTTAGGACACATCATCATGAGAGAGGAAACTTCGGTCTGTCTTTGTGGTCCTGAGACCGAAGTTCAGAGTTCTCCATAGAAATCACCCAGTTCTCATGGAGAACAGTATGTCAGTCAAAGTGATGTTGATCATGTTTTTTGACTGAGCTGAGTTTGTACCCGGGAACGCTACAATGACCTCTAGGTATTATAAGGGCTTTTTTTTTTTTTTTTTTTAAGAAACTGTGCATAGTAAACAGCCTAAGAAATGGGCACTTTCACCCTCTGTCCTGACAGTGCTGTGTCACACATGGCTTCTGGTGTGGTAGCAGCTTGTCTCAAATAAAACCATGTAGTGTGTCCTCGTCCACTTTATTCACCAGATCTGGCCCTATGGGACTCTGTCTCTTCCCCAAAGTCAGAATAACCGTGAGGTAAATGTTTAGAATCAACTCAAGACATAAGGCAGCCATGACAGTGCACCAACAAGCACGAAAAAGGCCTTCCTGAACTGCTCTGGAAAGCTGTGAGAATGGTGGGATGAGTGTGCATGAAGCTGAGGAGGAGCATTCTGAGGGGGATTAATAGCGGTATGTCTTTTACTGTAATACATCATTAAAAATTTCAGCATTCACTGTGTATTTTGATCACCTCATTTTAGTGAGGAGCTTAATAGTTGACTTAGAAACAATTTTTTGAAGAAATGTCATTCAAGTATTGGAAGATATCTTTTAACAACTCTAGGAACTCTGTAGTCTTAAGTCTCTGATTTAATTTTTTAATTTTTTCTTTATTCTCAAAAAGATCTCACACAGTGATCAAGATTTTATACAGTGAGAGTCAGACACGGTGACACACACCGTAATCCCAGCTCAGTCACGCTGAGGCAGCAGGTTCATAGCGAGCTCAAGGCCAACCTGACCGACGCAGCAAGACTGTCTGAAAACAAGATACAACAAAGATTACAGAAAGAGCAAAATGATTAAACATAAATTCAGACAGAAACAGGCATTCAAGTTAGAAACCATGAAAAGTGCGTCAAAAATTTATTCGTAAGAAATTGAGTAAGCCTTAAGAATTCTCCGGTTTGAAATGCTTTGCATCTTTTACTTCCTTCAGCACAGCTGTACTGCCCCTTTTCTGTGCCATACTTAGCATTTTACCAAGAAGTATACATTGAAGTCCTGTGAGTGATACTCAGCATAAAGAGTCTGCACGATCGCCTAGGCAACGAAAGCAAGGAAAGCCCCCCAAGTGAGAAAGTCCGACTTCCAGTTCTCTGTCCTGAGAAGAGGACTTACGGATGTGCTCCAGAGAAGCGCAGGGTGCGGATTTGCTTTCCTGTCAGTGAGGACGAGCCCAGGGCCTCCTGCATGCCGCGCACACGTTCTGTCACTAAACGGAGCCTGCAGCCAGAGGGCTGATGGGAAAGCCTGAGAGGAAAGCCGTTAACCACCTGCCAGCCCCGTTATTTAAGTACAGCATGACCAAACACTGCTTTTTTCTTCCATTAAGCTAAAATGCTGACCTACATTTTGGGTTTTTTAAAATATTTATTTATTTATTTATTTATTGACTGATTGATTGTCTTTTTGAGACAAGGCCTTGCTATGCAGTTCAGGCTGGCCTAGAACTCACCTTGTAGCCCAGGCTAGCCTCGAACTCGCAACAGTCCTCCTGCCTCAGCCTCCCAAGTGCTGGGATTATAAGCGTGCGCCACCACACCTGGCTGACCTGTATTTTGAAGGGTACAATTTTTTTTTTCTGCACACCTGGTTTTGTTTTTTTTTTTCTTTTTGAGAGAAGAAAGATGTGAGCAAACATTTGAAGCCTATAGCATAGTCCTTTACTCAAGGAGAAAAGGAGACTAGTGAAAGCAGTAAGAAGGTAGGTAGTAAGTCAGTACTACTTGCGGGGAGAGGACTCCATCAGTAATGACACTTCTTTAAAGGAGGAAGTAAGCCCTTTTGGGGATGGAGGCAAGCTGGTGAAGAGAGGAGAGAGTTCAGGGAAGGAAGCTTCACTGAGGAGGAAATGCTTGGGCTTGGGGTCGTAGGAGGCACTCTAGGCAGCGGAAAAGTGTTTACAGAGTGTTTACAAAGCCACGAGTTGAACAGGGGTGAAAGAAGGCTTCTGTACCACAGATGGGTAAAGGAGTCTCACACTTGCCAGTGAGCAGGTGGACAGTCACATACTCACTTTAACAGAGAAGTTGGCTCTTCGTACTTCTGTGACTACATACTTTCTGAATGTCACTCATCTGAACTTTCTTTATATGAACATTTGTATTTTGTTTCTTTGTTTTGTGTTCGGGGAGTTTTTTGCACTTAAGCGTTTAAAGTACATAACATGTAGTATTTTATTTCAAGATCTGGCATGGATTCAAAGCATTTATTTTAGGGCTGGGACTTCAGCTCATGATACAGCACTTAAGCAGCATGCAGGAGGCCTAGGGTTCCGGCCTCAGCACAGCGACGTAAAGGACACGTTTGTACAGCACCAAGTTTACTGCTGTTTTGCTCTTGAAAGAGTTTGTACTGAGTTGTAGTATGCTACAGTAATCTCGGTGTTCTTGCTGACACGGCCAGTGTTGGAAACAAGCTTCATCTCACAGAAGAGGCAGACTGAAATAATACATTTCCCAAAGAACAAACGTTCTTGTGAAGGCTGGAGGAAGGAGAGGGAAGGAAAGTTAGTAAGTTCTGATACATGGGCACTATGCTATGTTGGTAAATCTACAAAGCGAAAGTACTTTTTCATTAATAAGTATCATTTGTTTTGAATTATGTTTATAGGAGAAAACCTTCAGTGTAATTTTGTTTGCAGTCAGGGTTTTTAAAATTGGAGCATGGGGCTGGGGATTTAGCTCAGCGGCAAAAGCGCCTGCCTGGCAAGCGCAAGGTCGTGAGTTCGGTTCCTGGTACCGGAGAAAAACCGAAAAAAAAAAAAGAAAAAAAAAAAAAAAAAAAAAAAAATAAAATTGGAGCAGGCTTAAGTGCCCATATGGTAAATGGACTGTGGGCCAGATACATTGACTCCAAAGTACCAAGTCGTTTCATAAAATGAAGAAAGTTCACATTTGTCTAAAAAATTTAATTATGGTAAAATACATACAGCAGTTAGCACGCTGACCTTTTAGGGTATGTGTTTCCGTGGTATTGTTCATTGCTACTGTCACCTCGGCCCCCTCCGGACAGGAGCATTATCTGACCTCCCAGCTGCGCATCTTTGGCAGCCACCATTCCGCTTTCCGCCTGTTTGAATCTGACCGCTTTGAGTACTTCACACAGGTGGAATCAGACAGTAATTGAATTTTTCTTGCTGGCTTGTTTCACCTGGCATGATGTCCTAAGTTCATCCATGTAGCGTTGTCAGAACCCCTTCCTTTGCAAGGTGGAGTAATATACTGTTATTGTAGGCGTATACTGCGCTTTGTCTACCGGTTGTACCTGCCAGTGGATTCTCCGGTGCTTTCCACCATTTGGTTATTATGAACAAGTGCTGCGGCGAATGTAGGTTTACAGGTATCAGAGTCCCTGCTCTCATTTATATATGTTATATATGTAGAAGTGAGTTGCTTCATAAGGTGACATTTTTTAATTTGTTAGGAACTGCCATACAGTTTTCTGTAGTGACTAAACCATTTCACGTTCTGATCCGCAGTGCACAAAGGCTCTTATTTTTTTCATATCTTTGCTAACACTGGATATTTCTTGTTATATTTTTCTATAAAAGCCATCTTGATGGGTATAAAATGGTTTCTCCTTGTGGTTTTAGTTTGTATTTCCCTAATGGTTAGTGATGTTGGTACCTTTTCACATTTACTGGCCATTCGTATATCTGTTTCTTAGACAAATACCTATCCAAGCTTGACCTATATCAATTTTTAAAATGGGTGATTAATTATAACACTTCACGTGTCACAGTTGTGTTACAGTAGTCAGATGTGTTAGATAAATGATTTGCAAACATCTTCTCCCACTAATAGGTTACCTTTTTACCGTGTTAATTTTGTCCTTTGATGCCCAAGTTTTTAATTTGGTTCAGTCTGTTTTATCCATTTTATTTTGTCACTTGTATTTTTGTTATCCAAGAAATCATTGCTATGTCTGTTGTCCAGAAACTTTTCTCCAGTTTTCTTCAAAGAGTTGATATAGTCTTAGCTCTTATATGTAGATTAATTTTGAATTAGTTTCTGTTAATGATGGAAGAGTCGAACTTCATTCTTTGGAATATCAGTGTTTTTAAAGTTCAATTTCTGTTAGTCTTGTGTTTTTGTTGCCATATATTAATTTTGCTGCATACATATTTCATTTTGCTGGTATCCCAAAGGGAATCTTTAAAGACAAACAAAACAGGAATGTATAGCTTGTATAAAACTAAACTAGAATTATCACTGGGTATTATTTTAGATAAATGTTCAGATCACTGCATTTTGTATTGTATACTTTGTACTTTTGACTTTATTTCTCTTCTTTCTTTCCTCTAACAGATTTTCTCAAGGTCAGCAACTTGTGACCAAGTTAGTGACTGCTCCCGTAGCTTGTGGGGCGGTCATGGTACCTAGTACTATGCTCATGGGTCAGGTGGTGACTGCCTATCCTACTTTCGCCACACAACAGCAGCAGGCGCAGACATTGTCGGTAACCCAGCAGCAGCAACAGCAGCAGCAGCAGCAGCAGCAGCAGCAGAGTACCCAGGAGCAGCAGCTTCCTTCAGTTCAGCAGCCATCTCAGGCTCAGCTGACCCAACCACCACAGCAGTTTTTACAGGTAATTCTGCCCCTGGAAAAGTTGTTCCAAACCCGCTGATTTGTAATGAACTAGGGATTTAATGAACCGGTTCACAGATGATCTGAAAAACCCATAAAAGCTCATTATACATTTAAATCTCTGTAAGATAGAATGCTTATCCTGATTAGCTATTTTTCTGCCCTTTGTTGAGTGTTTGGAAGACTTTTAGCCCTGCCATGAACATACCCTGTTACCTGTATTGCTGAATAGAGTGAGTGGCCTACTGCCTACAGGGCACCTATGTAGAGACTTTTATCCTGGGCTTGAGTTTCTGGAACTGGAGGAAAGACCTCTCTCCTCTTGCTATCTAGATGCCCATCATACTACTCTGTATAAGGCAGAATTATCAAAAAGGATTTCCTCATTAGCATAGGTCAGTGATAGTGAACCTGTTAGAGACCAGATGCCCAAAGTGCCACACCCACTTATTTATGTCAGAGGGCCAGCACTGCCATTAAACCTGAATACTGAGGCTTTAGTTTAGAGAAAACAGCTGTTAACCAATCCTCAGCTGCTTGTGTGCCAACGGAGAGGTCCCTGCTTGCCCACTGCAGCACACGTGCCATAGGTTCGCCACCACTGGCATAGGTGTTTTCTTAAATTATTTTGTTGGATTAAAATTTATTAGAGTTTTTTTTTGTCTTCTAAATTATTGTCAGAGGAGAAATACAGTGCAGGTGCAGTGTATGTCATAGTTAGATGTTAAGTTGTAAAGTCAGGCTGCTCCTTAATTGAACTGCTGCTACACCACATCCTGTGACCTTGGACAGGTTATTTAAACTTCGTAAACCTCTTTTTTTGGAGGGTTTGAGGCACGGTCTTGTTATACAGTTCAGGCTGGCTTTGAACTCTCTTTCTACCCCAGGCTGGCCTCTACCTCCCGGTGATCCTCCTGCCTCAGCCTTCTGAATGCTGGGATCACAGGCATGAGCTACCACACCCAGCTAATGAAGTGCATGGGATAGTAGTCCAGACCTTGTAGATTAAAAAAAGACATGAAAATTGTTGAGCATAGGATAAGACACGTTACTCTCTGTCATTTCTGCAATTTTGACGGCAGATAGCACTGATTTGTCATGGTGACCACTTCAGGTGGACGGACCAGGCACCTGTCATCCATTTCAGTTATACAACTTGTGCTGTAATTAGATTCAGTATATATTCAAGCATGAATACAGTCTTAATTATCACTGTAGGGTTTGTTTTGTTTTGTTTTTTGAGAAAGGGTCTTACTGTGGAGCTCAGGCTGGCCTTGAACTCATGGCAGTTCTCCTGCCTCAGTGCTGGAGCTACAGGGTTGCTACCACGCCCCACCTGCTCTGGTATTCTGATACAAGTGTAACCCTTATTCTAGTCATTTGGAACACAGTAGTTGCCTAAGTAGCTCTTTGAGTATCGTACAGTCTCTGAAACACAGCCAGTGAGAATCAGCAGAAGCTTAAAGGAGAAGACTTGCCTTAGGATCCAGCTTCTGATCCTTCTTGTACCAAGGAAGAAATACCCTTAAAGGAATGAACATTCTCTGCTTCCATATTTCTCCCAAAAAAGCATCCCAAAGACGTAGAACCCATAAAGAAATAAGACAGGCAATACTTTTCATAAGTATATATATTCACTGTGAGTATATTTACTATATATAGTTTGGTTCTCCTAATTGTACCTCTGTTCCAAAATGCATCTCTATTATAATCCTATAAGGCTTACAAATATCCTGAATTATTCTTCTGTTCAGACTTCTCCTGATAACAGAAAAAGAAAACTCTGAAAGTCTTTGGCGAAGCTTAATGACCATTAAGATCTGTGCGTGTGTGTGTATGTGTACATGTCCTTCACACACATTTACAAACATCATCCTCGCCAGCTCCATTTTAAAATTAAGAACCTGGCATTAAATACATTGTCTTGAAGCTGTATGTCTCTTTAAAAATTAACTTTTTTCCTGGAGTTACAGATTAATGTACGTACCAGAAGTAAAATCTTAATGAAAGAAGCTGATACAGTCAGACATTTATAAATGGCCGAGCAAAACCCAGACACAGCGTTCTTCATCCTGATCCTGGCCTTCGGTTTTGTTTTCTGTGTGTGACATCACACTGCTACATACAAGATTTAAGCCTCCAACTTTGCTCACAATTTTTATGGGACTTTTAAGTAATAATAACATTTAATATTTATAAAACCCAATGTAGTGGACATTGTTATTCTTATTTTGTAAATGAAGAACCTGAGGTCTAAAGAAATAAAATGCTTGAGCAGGGCACACATCTGTACACTGCTCAGGCTGCGCGTGAACCCAGTTTACTCACGGCGGATTCAGCTGGCTGTTTCCTTTCCCAGCAGGGGGGCCTGTGTGCAGAAGCATTGTCTGTTAAACCAAGAGTCTTTGTGTCTCAGATAGTCCTTGTTGGGTTTAAAATGAAGGGCTTCAGGACATAAAGTGGAAGACTAATTCCTCTGCACTGTGAAATCTCCAGTCCAGCTGGGTGTGGGGACACACGCCTAAAATCCCAGCGCATGGGAAGCTGAAGCAGGATGGCCGCGAGTTTGAGGCCAGCCTCAGCTACCGTGAGTTCAAGGGCAACCTGAACTACACAGTGAGACCCTGTCACAAAACACAACACAACACAACACTCCGGCCTAGATATTCTTTTGTAAAGTGAAACTGCTACTCTTTCAAAAAGAGAGAAAGCTTCATAAGCATTTTCCAAAAGTAAGATCTTTACAGGGGAAAAAGTACGGTGGGAAAATAAGAATTGAAGGATCATGCCCCTGTGGACGGCGTGCATAAATCTCTTCTCGACAGCACAGTGGGGTAACGTGATGTCGCATAATCCATTTGTTTTTTAGGCTTCTAGGCTGATCCACGGGAACCCTTCAGCTCAGCTCATCCTCTCTGCTGCGTTTCCACTACAACAGAGCACCTTCCCTCAGTCACATCACCAGCAGCACCAGGCCCAGCAAGCGCAGCAGCTGGGTCGGCACAGGACGGACAGTCTGACCGATCCGGCTAAGGCTCAGCCGCAGTAGCACGCGTGCTTCCTCTCTGATGCCGAGGGAGGAAGGGGATGGCCCAGAAAGACTTGCTCAGATGAACTGAGGACAGGAAGAAAAGTTGCAGCAGATTCATGCAATGCAGTGTTGAATGTTCTAGTTCCTGGATTAGTCGGCAGGGAAAATGCTGCCTAGCGATACAACTGTACATTAAATACCAGCCAGCGCGAAGACAGTCGGAGGGATGTAGCCAATTCTGACAGGGTTTCAGTTGCCCAGATATTTTTGATGGGAAAAGAGTATATTGCCAAATGTTAAGAAACTCAGCTATGGAATGATCTCTGTCAAACGAAAAGGCACTAACGATGTTAGTAACCTCTAGTGGTTCTGTGCCTGTTACCTAGTGTTACGGAGGACACGTCACTGCCGCGTTGTCTGCTTACAGTGATGCCATGAAGGTAGTCCAGGAGTCAAGTGTCCCCCGTCCCGCACCTTCTCCCTTTTCACATGATGGGACTGTAGTTACTTGCAGATGTTGTGTGGGTTCGAGTGCTGTATGTACAGATACTGTAAAACTATGTATATGCCTGGAGGAAGGAGAGAAAGCAAACCACGTGTGCGCTGCATGGAAGCATTAACTCCTCTTACGCGTACACTTCAGTAGACTAGCGCACCACGTACAGACTGAGGCGTCAGCCTGTTTCCCTTCTGTTTACAACACAGTAGTGTTCTACCACTTTTCCGGGGCACAAGTCTTTTGTTCATACTTTGGCTGTGATGTCACAGTTTGTTCAGTGAGGTATGATGTGCTGCTGGGAACGGATCTCTTCTTTTTTCAGGTTAAATTATTGATACAACAGGATTTTCAAGTTATCATAAATATCCCTCATTTCATTATTTTTCAGTTATGTTTGAAAATAGGATTTGCACTGCTTTTCTTTAGATGGTTGGGAGTTAGATCACATATTTTGATGTATTTTATAGTTGGAAATATTTATATAAATGGTTTCCAACAAGTCTGAAAGTAATTTCAAGAATGTTTCAGTTATAGGAGTAAAGTTTGCACATAAAAGATTTAGGCACTTTTTAACGTTCTCAATGGTGAGAATTTTAACTTTCAAGATTTGTTGGAATCTTTTTATTATCCTTCACAATTTCAATGCTTCTTTTAGTCAGAAATGATTCAGGGTTATTGGAGGGGGAAAAAACCCATAGTGCCTTGACGTTAATTCAGGTGATGAATCACCATCTTGAACTCACTGTCTGGTTTCAGTAGCAGTTTTGAAACCTTAGTACATTTTTAATAGCATGTGGGTGTCTGTGTCATCATTCTGCTCAGTTCCTATGAAGACTGCTGTCCTTTGAACTGGAGGACAGATAAATAAAATACGACAGCCGAATGCTATCACAGTTGTTAACGTGATCCCAGGTAGTTTCCTCAGTTAGCATCTTCCTTGAAAGCTAAATAATCACTTGAGTAAATATTTGCTCAATGTGATGTTGATATTCCTACAAAACGGGTGTAGGAATTGGCTTTGCTGTCGTTTCAACACCAGAATATTGTAACTCACATGCTTTCTAAAGACGCACTAAGATTTCACCTGGCAATATTGCGTTCTAAAGGTAAGAAATTCCAACACGTCACATATACTTAAAAAAGCATTTTTTAGATTTTATGGTACTAGTAATGAACTTTACAAGTACAGAACAAAAGATTAGGAAAATTCCTTATTCAGATATGGAAAACTATTACTGAGAAGAGAGAGAATAAGCATAAGAAACCAAAATTGACCTTAAAATGGATAAGAGAGCTGAGGTTGCTAAACAGAAAAGGTTCTGAGCAATGAAGAAAGGTAATGCAGAGTGCTAAGGGCTTGGGAATGCGAAGGCAACTCTTGTCTTCGGCTTTGCTCTCATCCTTAAGGGATATTCTGTTTTTCTATTTAAAAAACTATCGCTGGTCAGAATTACATTAGAAAATAAATTAGAAAACAACCAAAGAAAATTGGTACCTACTCTTCTACAAAAGAAGTATGACTAGATACCAGTCAGTAATTAACATATCATGAAAGTGTTCTTCTAGCTAAATGATCACCCAGAAGATTCCCAGCGGCCGGGGGGTCACCCGTCCGTGTGCACTGAGCGCAGAGGTGCTCGGCCGAGGTACAAGACCGCAGCAGCGTTGCTCTTCTCCCCTCCCACACGGCCTTTCTCAGCCTTCCGCCATTCCTTATGCTGTGTATCTGCGTTGTGCCTCATTTCTTTGTTGGCAATATCTGGGGATAAGGGTTTAGCTAACGAAAAGATAGGAGGAGCATTACATTACGGCGTATCTTCTGAGTGCCGTACTCAGAAGAAAGATCATGGACTGAATACTGTGTGCTTCACGACAGCAAAGCCGAAGCCAAGCCACAGGTGAATTAGCGCAAATCCACATCCTCCTGCCCCTGCGCCTTCAAATCATTTCCATCCTCACAGATACCTGGGAAATTTAAACCAATTTTTTCTTTATAATTCTTCTGTTCTTCACAGTTCATCTTTTTCCTATGTGAAACTAGTGTAGGTAAATTTTAAAAAGCACCTAGCTGCTTGTCCTTTGCTGTCTGTGGAGGATTTTGTGCGGAAGCCCAGTCAGCGCGGGCTGCCTCCCCTTCACCTTTGTGTCCTCCTGCCGTGCGGGGAGCGTTCGGACGAAGACTCCGCAGTGGCCTGTTCTTCATTCATTTCTGCAGCCAAAGTTCCTTCAAATCCCAAATCTAAAACCATGAAAAGATACCAAATAGGAACACCTTTCAGCTTCTTCGAAGTCTTCGCCCCATGTTACTCCCAAGGGGATTTAGTTCTTTTTAGAAGCTCTTCTTTCTGGGTGGCGCTTCATAAAAGGAATAATGCTAGCTGCTCTGCGATCACCTTGCTTTGGACTGCTGAGGCCTGGGACGAGTGGGCGTCACTCGTCAGGGATGAGACCAGCTCACTGCTGCTGAGCGGTGTCAGACTGGAACCCACACGCTGGAGTACTTTTTTTTCTGAGTGGAAAGTAACGGGAGGAAGAGCAGATGTGCTGGGTGGGGGCGGCATGTAAGCGCGTACTAGTGTCCAGACTTCATCCTCCGCTCGGGAGGTTATTTCAGTGCTGTGCTCTGCTTTGTCGGTTAGATGTGGCTTGGGAAGGCACAGTAACAAAAGGGTGCCGGTGAATCGGGATGCTCGTTCCAGTCAGGATTCCTTAGAGGTGCGATACAGTGGTTGGTCATTGCCTTAAAGCAGTCTCCTGAAGCCGGGAGCGCTGAAGCAGTCCAGCTCCGCAGAGGGCATTGTGTTGAAGGGAGGTGAACCCTTGTGCAAGAAGCCTTAGCGAGGAACCCTTAAAATAGTAGTCTACACAGGCGGGAATGCTTTTCAACTGAGTATTACTCCATGTGTGTGGAAACGTTCCCACTGTGTCGAGACAAACTTGTAAGTGGAACGCAGATGGCATTTTACTTGCGTATTTTTCTTTTCTCTTTGGTGACGGAAGGTTTGTTGAACGTTTGTGTGAAACTCATTCAAATCTGTAACCTTTCCAACATCTGTGGTCCTGTTTTTAGTGCCACAGGAATCCACAGAAGGTATAAACACTGGATATTAATATTGCTGAGTGCATCTAGCCAGGAGTAAGCTGGTGGGAACATTGCATTGGTGAAGAAACAGCACAAAGGCACTTGCCATTTTAATATACAATACAGTAACTGCAGAAGACCTTTTAAGTTTGTCTAGATGGGGTGAGCATTTGAAGTAATTGCAAAGGAAAAGAGTTGACTATTTTTATAGCATATTTAATATATTTGTATATGAGTATAGTAGGACCCCTCCACACGCCTCCCTCTTTTCTAATTTCCAACCCCCTTTTGCCATAGCCCTAGCATAGCCTCATCCGCGTGGTAATGTGCCTATCGTCAGCCTACCAAAAGATAGTGCTGCTGCTTTTGAGACAGGTGAGAAGACCAGACTCTCACGCCCGGGGATCCGTTACGGGAGGGTTAGCACACACACACAGCAACACACCGCAGTTTAAAAGCATCATTTTGAAATGTAAGAAGCACTTTATTGCAATTACTCATTTTGATAAAGTTTATTATCTTAGGCATTAACCATTCCTAAAGGATCCCCAAATCATCACTTAGGTGAAATTATAAAATGACATTTCTGAGAAATGTTCAGATCCAGTGAACCGTAGCAGGTTTATGGGAGTGATTTCAAGGTAGCCAAATGAACTCTCTCGTTTGAATGTGGTGGAGTCGACTGTAGATGCCTAGTTCCGTGAAACACTATTGTAAACCTTTCTTGCCTATTGTGTGGACACCAAAAGAGACCAATGAGCCTGTTTATTTTCAGAGGTCTAGGAAAATTGCCTCCATGGGAGTAGATGTGCGGAACTGACCTAAAAGTGATTGGTAGTAATGTTTTAGAATAGTTTTCAAGAATTACTGAGTGTTTTAAATGTGCCCTGAAATGTTGGCATGTCATTTCAGCATTTCCATTTGATTTGCTTTTGTAATGTTTTAGCACAAAAAGGACTGAGCTGTCTACTTTGGCTGAAGAAAAAATATATAATTTGGTCTTATTTTAATGTCTCCTCTGGAAACACTGGGGGTGAATTATGTTGGTATAGTCATTGATTCAGGATATTCAAGTGTTGAACAGAGCACAAGAAATTAAGTGAACTTGGATATTTAAAAATTAAAAAACTTTTTTTCCACGTGACTGTTTTGCATTTTTTCCCCACTGTCATGACACTACATTCCTTGTTCTTCTGAAAGAATACTTTGCAGGTTTTGAGTATGTCAGTGTTTTTGTGAGCTGCCTGGGTTTTCCAGGGAAACGTTCTTAGTGAAGTAGGAATAGTTAGTTTCTGAGACTAAGTGAGGTTCTATCACCACCACCACCAGCAAACACTGAGGTGCTGCATTGTGACAATCAAAGTAGTAGTTGAGAGAATTTAGAGTGGTTGAAAGAAGCAATTGCATTGAAAGCAGTTCTCTGGGTTTCTTGAATAAAACGGCTAAATGTGTTTATTTATATTTTTAAGTATGTTCGCATTTTTCTCTTGGTGATTTCAGCATTGTGTGTGTAACTGTGGCTTTGTTTGCATCATCTTGTAATTGGAGAACTGACTTCCTTGGGGCGGACGTGCCTGCTTGCTGACCCCACGGACAGTCCAAGTCCGCCTCTCAGGATGGCAGTGGGGGCCAGATCCAGACGCCCCTGCCCTTTCCTCCTCTTCTCAACTCGCTTAAGAAGAAAATGTTGAAGAGCTAGCTCCTTTCAGCTCTGCTTCACAGAGCTCCACCCTTTTTCTATGCTCACTTGCTGCCTTCTCTACTTGATGGGCACTTTCTGTTGAACACTTCCCGGCACAGCCAAGGCCAGTAGGCAGAACCTGTGTGGCTCACGCGGCCTCCGTTTTGCCCATTTCGGGGAATGTCAGCGTCATCTAATGGCTGTCCTTACCATATCCATATTAAAGTCCTTACAGGTGGAAAGCTTACAGAGAGCTGGCTGTCTTTATACAGTTGTAGCATTCTTTTAAAAAGCAAAACCAAACCTCCGCACATAGCGCTGTCCAATAAAGCAGCGCTTGAGCGTTTGAAGCCCAGACAGCGGAGGATCCTTGCTCGCACTGTGCAACCTAATCCTCCGCTTCGGGGCTCCGGAGCCGCTGAGGCCCGCGGGCCAGGCGAGCGCACGCGAGGAGCCCCGAGAGGACGGTAACTAAAACACGCCAGCCACAGGGTAGAGTTAACGCTGTAAGGAATGTCTAACTCGAGAACTTACTGGAAGAAATGCTGTTTTCAAATATATGCATTTAAATCCGAGGAAACAAACTGTGACATCGCTTTAAGAAATGTTCTGTGTGTTCTAAGTTGGCCTGTGCTGGCACGAGGCCACTGCTGGCAGTGGTTGTACCAGTACTAAGTTACAATGTAGGAAAAGCTGTTATCTTCAAATTGATGTATCACAGACAATCATCTTTAAGCAAAAAAATATATATTGTCCAGGAAATGTCCTTTTTTAAGATGTCAGCCGGAACAGCTGTAATTTTAACCCTTCCAGAACTGCTGAGATCTGTTATACCATCACGTTTCGGTCGGAGGCCCCAGCACGGCACTCCCACGCTCGCTCTGTGTAAAAACTGAAGCCCAAAGACAAGTGAAACCAGTGCTGTGTTGAAGTTAGTGCAAAGTAAGGGAGTTTTATCTTTGTAAGTTCTTCATTGTTAACATCAGTGGATAGTTGTACAAACATGCACCAAATGTGTTCTGATGTTGTGTGTGGCTGTTCGTGTGCCGTTCGCCCTCGCTGCTTGGTTCTTGGTTTTAAGAATCAGGGTAGCCGCCGTCCTTCCTCCCAAAGTGTGGAGCTGAACACGGCTGCTGACCTTGAGAATGCCCTTTTCTTTCTTCCTAAAGCAAACAATTGGAACCTAAATTAACTTATGAAAGCAAGCACTCGCGTTTTTCAAGTATGACCTTCTGCCAAAACCCTAAATTGCATAGCCGCGTGAAGGGTACCGGAATGGTTTTAACGGTGCTATATTAGGTTCTCCGATGTTCACGAGCTGTCCGGAGATACAACAGTATATAAAATATGTGGCTCTTATGACCAGCTTACTCTTGTCACTTTAATTTGGTGTTACCATTGATTAAACTTCGTTTTCAAAGCTATCCTTTGAGAAGTCAAAATGTGTTCTTAGCCTACCTCCACTTGGGCCTCTTGAGAGCGATCACTTTTCCAGGTTATGATGTGCATAGCTTTTGAAATATCTATGTACTATTACAATTCTCTTTTCCCATAGACTCCTGTAATGTATTCAGACCCTAAAGTTATTGCAAAAGAGCCAAGCAGTAGTATTGTGGGGTTTTTTGTAAATGTAAAATACTTAGATCCAGACTTTGTTTCCTTCTTCAATTTTAAAAATAAAAAATACCTCAGTGCTATGTTTTTCAGTATCACCTGCCTTTCTCCAAAAGTAACCCCTGCGTTATGTGGCACATAACTTGTAAGAATCACATTTTGGATTTTAAAGAAAGACTATTAAATATTTTAAAATCACTATCAATTGACATTTTCCTCTTTTATTTAGTAGTGAATCCTAAGCACATTAGCAATTTTACCGTGTAGCCTAGGTCTGAATTTCCAGATTCTCTAGTTTTGTTCTGCTACAAGGTTGTGCATCTCAGAAAGCGGTGCTTGTTTCTCATGTGCTGAGTGCTGTTGGGGTCGGGCTTCCCGAGCCCACTGGGCTGTGGTATCCACCGTCTCTGCAAGAAATTACCCTTTCACAGCTTGTCCTGCGGGGACCCGAAATTTCTCTTGAATTGTTTTGTCGTAAGTCAGTCACACACACTGTGCTTTCATGCTAGGGAAATCCTGAAAGTGACCTTTTCTTCGTAATAGTGCTACTGCTGACTGGACCTGCGCGAGCTACCCTACAGTGGAGGCTCCTTTGGGGTCTCGAGGTCAGGTGGTCTCACGGTGGGGGTGCTGGGTGGCTTCAGCTTCTTCAGATTACACCGCGGAACAGACCTTATGTACAGCAGCTCGCTAAACCGGAACTGCTCTAGGTCTGTCCAATGCTCCACAGAGCACAGGTGGACACGGTCACAGAAGAACTGTCCTTCGGGGTTAAGGGGCCATTCACGACAGCGTCACACACGAGCTACTGCGGGCAGGCTGGAGAAGACAAAGCGACTGGGGCGCCCTGGGCGGGGGAGGGAGGTTCGGACGCACTTTAAGTGACAGTGACGGCCACCAAGGCGGCCATGACACAGCGGGGCAGCTCTGGCACAGCGCTGCTCTGGCACTTAGCTAACTGCAGGCTCGAACTTGCGGCCCGCGGGGTTTGGCCCGTTCTGCCACGTCCCCGTTGAGCACGTGCAGGGTGAGCCTTGTGTCCGCGCCTCCTGTGCGGCCAGAGGTGCCGGTGGAGGGCGCGGGCTCCCGCTGAGCCGCCAGTGTCACATCTGCGCTGCGAACTGGCTTTCAGATGCTAATGCTGCCTTGGTGAGTTTACAGAACGCTGGTTGTACAACCCACAGAAAGACAAGCACGGTCATACCACTTTTATTTACATTTTATCTGTTACATTGTTTATTCAATATAGAAAAAATACGAATACATTCATAGTATTCTCTGTAAATTTGGTTACTCCATGTTGTCAAATATTGACTGCTTTTAAATTGGGTGTCCTACCCAATAAAAAAAGGAAGAGTGGATCTCACAAACAGTTCCTGTTGTGTTGTTTTACTAATATAATAGTAACACCATATTTGACTTTTATTTTTGAAACAACCTAATTGTGAAAAGATTCAAGATTAAACTACTGTTTTCTGACTTAGGGAAATGTTCTTAAAAATATAGATTAATCCGTTCCCCAAGAAAAATTTTGAGGTCAGCATCTTAAAACACCTCAGTGACCAAGGAGAAAATACATACTCCTAATAAAGGGGCCACGCTAAAAGAAAATTAAGTGACAGACCCCAGTGCACCATGGTTCCACGTACACTGACCAAAGGGGCCACGCTGCATCATTACGCTGGAGGGAAGTCCACACTCAGAAGTGAGTTTTCTTTTAAAAATCCATCATACATATGCAATCAGTGATCATCTTTTGGACATAGCAATTTCATTAAGTGGGTCAAACTCACAAATCAAGGCTACAAAATACAGTGTTTCCATTACTTTCCATTGTAGTATACACTATGTACATACAGCAAGCTGCTATGTTATACTAAGTACAGATGAACGAACAGTTCGTTAAAAACCAGAATCAGGACTTATAAATAGTGCAGAAAATGCAAATGCCAAAAAGACGATGCCTCCTATGATTGTCACTGGAAGAGAAGAGAAAAGAGTTAGATCAGCCCGAGTTCTCCTGTCCCCTGCTTCGGGTCACGCCCAGTTCTGAGGGGGCAGGCAAGGTGCCTAAACTGACCTTGGAAACAGCACTCACGCGCAGGGAGCGCAGCACGCCTGGCTCTGAGCGGGGGAGCCAGCTCCCGCAGCGCCGTCCCGGAAACGGCAGGACGGGGCCACACTCGGTGTGACAGCCACAGAGCGGGAACACCGCGAACCAACTCACGCCGGCGCGTGTCCCACACAAACTCGTTCACACTGCAGGCCTCACCATGACAAAGCTGCAGTACATTTTCAGCAGAAGGGGGACACGGTCTATGCGTCCAGCTTTTACATAAGTAAGGCCAAAGACCCGTCCTTCAACGTGTTTTACCAGCTTAAAAAATTCACATTAACAAAAAAGCTCCCGTGGGACTCGGTAATGCTTTCGATGAATGCGGGTGGCACGAGCCTGTACGCACGGGGAAAGCGGTCTGTGTCTCCAGGGGCCTCAAAAGGGTGAGCACTCGACCCAGTACATTCAGAAGAACTTAAAGGTAACACCCTCTTTCTAATCTCAGTGACTAGAAGGAACAAATGACGTGCTTATTAATTTAAGAAGTGAGAACAGATGTTCTTTGAAGAAAACCCAGAACCCTTACCCGTTCTGACGGAGATCTTCTGGGCTATCATTCTTCCTCCAATTACTGCCAAGCCCGTGCACAAGCAGTGCCCCACGGTTCCGCCCACGGCCACCCCGCACGGGTCCTGGAAGCAAGCACAACCAGCATTCATTCGCTAGTTTGAAACTAAGGTTGAACCTGCTCCTTGAGAAAAGTAACCGTTAAGTACCCAAAAATGGAGCTCCACCACAAAGGTAGAATTCTAAAACTGCAGGAGTACTGTAATTTTATGGAAAGTGGTTAATAGCTGCTTGCAGGAGTATGTACCAGTTATATATACTAACTAGACATTAAAGTAGAAAAAAAAGGGAAACTTGGCCATGTTTGAAGAAAACAGAAAGCCTGGCTCCTTATGCTCCGGGCCCCAAGCCTCTCCCCAGCACCAGGGACAGTCTCCATCGGGAGGCAGTCAGCAGGGGAAAGATGGCCTGAAGAACGAGCAGCTGTTGGAAAGGGTCCAGGTCTGTGTGGGAAGGAGCGTGCTCGGGCAGGAGGAGCAAAGGCCAGTGGGGAGAAGACAACCAGCTGCGGAGTACTGCAGGTTTCTGCAGAACGCCAAGAGGAGCAAGAGAAGAGCCCATGGAACGGGCAGGTCAGGAAGGAACCTAGAAGCCTGGAGTTCAGCCTCTGTCTGAGGCACGTCTGTTTCTCCAGGGGAGCACGGCGTCCCAGGGCAGGCTCGTGCTTTACAGGTGTAGTGCAGAGGATGAGAGGACGGACTGCAAGGGAACAAGACTGGATGGCAAGGCCGGGCGTGGTGGCGCACGCCTGTAACTCCAGCACTCACGAGGCTGAGGCAGGAGGATCACTGCGAGTCCGAGGCCAGCCTGGGCTACAAAGAGAGTCCAAGGCCAGCCTGAACTGCTCAGTGTGACTGTCTCAAAAAGACAAAAAAAAGGCTGGGAGGCAAAATGACAATGCTGCCCTGGACTGGGGTGGGAGACAACAGGCAGGCAGAAGCAGATGAAGCTGAGATAAACACACACAGACTGCATTGCCCAAGTTCTGTCTGTGTATTAGGACCTCTAAAATTGCTACTCGATTTGAAAATGATACTTAACTATCCCTGGTTAAAATTCAATAGCTCCTCTAATACAGGAGTCAGAGTCTTACTTGCACACTAAACCCTGAAACAAGGCCTTCCTATCTGGCAAATTTATGTGTCCAAAACTTCTCCACTTCTCACCTAGTCTGAACCCCTCAGAAGACCTAGGAGCCTATGAACCCCAACATGGGAACGCCAAGCCGCAGCAGCAGGGGCAGCACCGCCCCAGGGTTTGAAGTCCCCGATCCGGCGTCTGAAAGCCAGTAAGGGCTAGAAATCAAGAATACAGGGCACAGCCATTACAGTGACATTTTAGAAGGAAGTTTTTGGTCTCTGGGGCTCAAATGAAAAGTACTTCCTTTTTTTTCCCCCAAAACAGCATTTTTGAGGCTTTTCTGACAGAAGAGCCTTTCCCAACTATCTTAGCCCTGGCCCTCAGAGGCTTTGTCATTTAGACTGCTGCATACGTGAAGGCATCTATTCTTTCACGGTAGCCATTCCCAAGGATTTAAAAACTATTTTCATCTGATACGCCGATGTGACACAGGAATACTACGATCAGTAGTAGATACAGCTTCCATTCCATAACCCCTGCTCAGGAAATCTCTGCAAACTGGTGCACACAGACGGGTACGGTACCACAGACAGAAGAATACTCCCTCAGCAGAAAGGAAGGTGAAAAAATAAAAATCGTGTCTTTTACATAAGTCACATTCAACTTTGCAAAAAATAAAGGGCTACATGGCAGACAGCTGCTGTTCTAGCCCTGGCCCCACTACCAACGGCTCTGGTCCTCCAGCCGCTCAACAGACTTCTCTGGGCCTCGGGTCCTTTCCTGAGTAAAGGCTCCAGGCAGAGGCTGAGGGCTGCCCGGGTTTACTGTGCGGTATCTACCCAAGAGCTAAGACGTCAAAACTGATGCTGAGTGAGTACATGCAACGCGACCAGGACACGTGTGACGGACTGAACCAGCTCCCTACTGCGCAGGTCAGTCTGTAAATTTCCACTTGATCGCAGTAAACATTTTCACAACTAACCTGTGCAGCACGCACTTACTTTAGCTACAAGGAGCAGAAGAACCACGAGTTAAGCATTTTACAAGGCCCTGGATACTTACTGCCAAACTGGCCTTTAATAATGTGTCTACTTACACCGAACAAGCACACAAACAAAAGTTCAAAGAATCCAAGAAAACAACAGCTCGCCCTCATTAACATGATGGGAGCGTGACCTCTGCCTCTAAGAAGTCTCAGAAGCCAGCAGAAACCAGAAGGCTACCCTGGGAGAGGGGCAGGTGCCTCGATGTAAAACCAGGCCGGCGAGAAAGAACCCCCTGGCCGCCACCGTGCAGTGTTACCTGGGCAAAGCAGCAGGAACCGTCTCAGCTGCGCTACACAGCCGTCTTCTCCCACGCGTCACTCACCTCTCTAGCTGCCAAGACGATGGTCGTGAGTTGAGAGCGATCTCCCCATTCTGCTAAGAACGTTAACGTCAGAGCTTGGACAAAAATTGGTGAAATAAAATGCAACCACTTTTTCTGAGGTGGTGCTGTGCTTGCACCCGCTTCAACATCTCCTGGACCGTTTAGGAGTTTGGTTCGTTGAAACTAAAAAAAATAAAAAGACATAAATTTCAGGAAGCAAATTAAAATAGCATGTGCATGCGCGCACACACACACACACACACACACACACACACACATCACTGAGTCTTTAAAGTGTTTCAAAGAAACAAAGCTCTGTGAGCCCAACGCCCCCCACGAACCACAAGTTCCACACGGCAACAAATGCTACGTTCTCCACGCTTCCGACCTCTTTAACAAAATAAACCATGTTCGCTGATCACTTACTGTCCTAGATGCTACACAAGGAGCAGGTAAAATAATTACGCACAGTTCCTGCTTTTCAGAAGCTCAGAACCAGCCTGCTTAAGGAATCTGGCCAGGGATACAGCTCAGCGGCACAGCGCCTGCCTGGCAAACGCAAGGTCCTGAGTTCGATTCCCGGCACCCAAAAGAGGAATGTGAACAGCCACGTTCAGCATTTAACTCTCTGCTTCCTTCCTCTACCACACTAACGCTGACCCAGAGGGTGGGGACGAGGACGGAAAGCAAACAACACCGACACTCCCGGGATGCCCACGAGTCACACAAGCGCGGCCACGGGAAAACCTCTGGGCCGCGGGTGCTCCCCAGGGAGCTCCCTTCTGGCTCAGCTTCTTAGCAGTGCATGACTTACTTCTTCATCTTTCTTCTTCAATTCTGCTTGAACTTCTTCCAGTTCCTCTTGACCCTCATCTGGACTCATCTTTAAACCTTCCCGGAGCATTCGAACGCCAAAAATGGCGAACAGCGCGGTGGACACGTAGTAGGTGTACACTCGGGGGATGACCGTGGTGGCGTAGCCGAACAGCACTGCAAGAAAGCGTGGCGGACAGAACACCGGTTAGCGGGCAGCTCCGCAACGAGCTGGAGAGACAACTAACTTCGGCGAGACCCCGCCTGCCCCCGTGGGAAGGAAAATGGTGCACGCCAGACACTGACATTGCGTAACAACCCGAACCAATCCCACTCGCTTCCCGGTGGCATTCTTGAGCGCGGAAGTGTGGCGAAGGTCCTGACTCCGTTTCCCAGGACGTCGGCGGCCGTCTTCCACCGGACCTCCCACGAAGTACTGACCTCCCTGCAGACGCGCCCAGCCGAACGCGCTTGTCGTTCACGCCGCGAGGGCCCGGCCCTGGAGGCGGATGCCCTTCAAGGACTCCAAGATGTCGTAACTTGGAAAGCACACCCCGCGTACACGCAGACCCGTGTTCACCCCAGACCTTTCACTGTCAACGTCTACAGCCGTGACGGTGAACCTTTCCAAAGCTTTAACAGGTGCGGGGCGCACGACACAGGAGTGCCGCCACTGCCGTACAGTAACAAATCATGACAAGGTTTCCAGAGATAGCACGATTCAAACTGCTCCCTCTTGATTACTTAAAAATATATTCTGAAAAAAATTTTAAATTCCTTATACATGTGTATGCACAAACACAAGGCAGTGTGTATTTTCGCTCTGTCCACTGAAAAGGCCACGAAATGAAGACTTTTCATAATAAACAGCCCACTTCACACCCAGATCTTGGTTCTAATACCACTTTCCACGAAAAGGCTCCGCAGAGGAACGGCCATGCCAAGACTGGGCAGAGATACAAGACGAACCCGCAGTATCTGTTACACTGGAAAGAAAGGAAAACTGGGCACAGATGACAGAAGCACGTCATAAGACGACAGCTGGTGAGGCCCCCATGGCCAAATCTGAGACAATGCAGTCCACAAAACAGACTAATTAGTTAAAAGCCCCTGAAAAAGTAATTGAAGAGTAAACAGGCAAACGGGAGAGAAAAGGAGTTCTGCGTGCAGCAGGGTGACCGAGCCCACCAGGCAGTGTGGAGTTCACCTTCACCAGCACTGAAGGGAGGTTGCGATTACAGAAGAATCATGCTGACCCTAGGGGGCGCTCTGATACGGAGGAAGACTCTCCAAGCCTGCACATCAGCGGCCAGACAGCATAAGGAGGAGTCCGGACTGGGAGAGCCAAATGAACACAACTGTATTTATTAAACCAAATTCTAAAGCAATGGGCCAGAAAGTTAGTAGGTGAATCTGACTAAAAGGTATGTAAGTGTTCTTTGTATTATCTCATTCGTATAGCTTTTTATGAATTTAAAATTATTTCCATAAAGTTTTAAAATTGCAAAGGACGGGCGTGGTGGCGCACATCTGTAATCCCAGCACTCGGGAGGCTGAGGCAGGAGGATCACTGCTGAGTTCGAGGCCAGCCTGGGCTACAAAGTGAGTTCAAGACCAGTCTGAACTGCATAGCGAGACCCTGTCTCAAAAAGACAAAATAAGTAAATAAAGTAAAATTTCAGAAATGAAATGCAGCAGACCTTTACAATCTCCTAAGCAGTTAACCCTTTATCTTCAGATACAGCGCTCTCCCTTACCCCGCAGAAGGAATGTCCCAAGACACCCAGCGGATGGATGCCTGAACCGTGGGATAGACCCAAACCCTAAGTTCGCTGGGCTTCGTCCTCACACCTGCCTGGGGAGCGCTGCCACGCAATACCAGAATCAGCCTTCCCTCCCGTGCAGTACAGACCGGCGTCACCGTTTACGTGAGCTCAGCACGGCAGCAGTTGTTCTGAAAACCGACAGACCAACGCTAGGTGGTAATGGGCGCGACGCACGCCAAGAGGACGCTGGGCAGAGGGACGCCTCGTGGCCGGGGCTGAAGCGCCACAGCGGGGTCTCCTCCCGCACTCAGAGCGGTGTACAGTTCAAGGCTTGAGTTGTTTTTCCCGGGATTTTACATTTAGTATTTTCAGACCACAGCTGACTGCAAATAACCAAAACTGCAGAAAATGAGACTTCAGATACGACTACTGTAATCCTTTACAAAAGCAAGTTATGTACTGATACTCTCCTGCCCTGCCATCTCCGCTTGGAGGAACGGTATCACTTTTTCTTCCCGATTACTCTGCCGCCTATTTTCCTTTCTTTGGAAACCTTTCCTGACACTCAAGCGCTTTACTGACAACAGGACACTGAAATTAACAAAATTTTCCATTTTCCAATCACTTCCAAATACATACAGTTAAAAAGATACTTGTAAGCGAAAGACTAATCCAGGACAGGGAGTAATTTGGGAAGTTTCAGGAAAGCCTTTTTGGTACGTTGGTTTCCAATTCTCTGCAGTCAGCAAATGTCACCGAAGACCACACTGAGGTGTCAGCTAACACAACCGTCAAACACCATATTGAGGACAGGCCATTGTACAATTTTTAGCACTTAAGGGTTCTGAACTGAGTGACATGGCTATCACAGACGTCTTCCCAGCCATTTACTCACTGAAGAAAATCTCTCAGCCCTTACCTGCATTTCTCTTAGAAAAGACGTGTGGGTGCTACACTTGACCTCACTCTAGCAACAAGGCTCAGTCACCCACAGACACAAATTTAGAAGTAACAGCCCATGACATCAGTAAGACACACATTTCCAGTTTTGAAAAACTTTCTTTAGCCAGGTGTGGAAATGCACAACGATGGTCGCAGCGCTGCGGGCGGCTGAGGTCAGGAGGATCGCACGTTCCACACCAGTGCACCAGCGACCCGCAAGACCCCGCCTCGCAGTAGAAGGGGGAGGGGACGGCACGCACAGAGGCTGCGGGCTGGGCCCTCGGCGTCCCAGGAGTTCAGGAGTCTCTGCACAGGGATGACGGAGATGGTCGGTATCGCACGGAAGTACTGCTCAGGGTCCGCGGGGTGTATTCTAACACTGCCAGGCCTATTTTACACGATACACTAGGAATTACATTTCTGTAACTCCTTCAATTTGTCATAAGGATTTTAGGCACCTTCACTGTGTCAGTGGGTACCTAACTTGCTGCTGAGGGAAAACTATGTTTTTATTGATAATTCCTATACTTTCAAACTGTGCAAAGCATTCGAATTGTTTTAACTGGTGAAACCCTCATTTATGTTTGTAAAGACAAACGCTTCTCACGTACACGGGTACCAGGTAACCGGAAGCGGAACTGCTTCCGCGCCGTGAGAAGTGAGAGTCACGGCAAGGTCGGGGCGGTGAAGGACAAGGCCTCGAGTCCCGCGTGTCGTCACCACAGCCCGGGGCCCGCGGGGCCCACCTCCGTCCTCGCGGCCCAGCGCCCCGGGCTCAGCCTGAGGCGTGAGTGAGGCGGGCGCA